GAATGAGAGAGAGAGAGAGAGAGAGAGAGAGAGAGAGAGAAAGGAGTTTGTATGCAGGAAATCCCTATCTATCTCAAGTTTCTTCATGTGGTTTGCCATTGCCCTCCTCTGAGGCTGAGGGAGTGTGACTTGCCCAAGGTCACCCCGTGGGTTTCCATGGCTGAATGGGATTTGAACCCTCATATCCCCAAGTCATAGTCCAATCGCAAACCACTACACCTCAAAATTCTGGAGATGCTGAGGAATGAACCTAGGACCTCATGATCAGGGGCACAGTTTTAACCGATTAGCCTCTTAACATTGTGGCCCATTGTTTGATCCCAGATACAGGCCAACCAGGTGTAATGATAACCAGAAACAACTGCTATCCATTGCAAATCAAAATGCCATTGTTAAATCTTGCATCTTGCACAAATCTTGCTGGCAGAGCCCTTTTCTCATAAAGGCAGTCTTTCAAATCAAATGCTTCCACCTGCTGTTGAATGTAGGGATTGCACTATTTCCATATATGCTACTTCAGCAGAGCATTTCGGTGCATATCATTTCCAGAATGTAACTCAATGGCAAACCCCTTCTGAACAAACTTGGCAAGAAAACCCTATCATAGATTCGTCTTGCGGTCGCCAACTTGAAAGCACACAACAACAACAACAACAACTAGGGATGCTGACACACTGCAGAATTAATATCTTTGGCACCGGTTTAATTGCCATGGCTCAATACTATGGAATCCTGGGATTTGTAGTTTGTTGTGGCACCAGAACAGTCTCATGGCAAAAGCTAAATAGCCATGGCAGTTAAAGCAGTGTCCAACTGCATTAATTCTGCGGTGTAGATGCAGCTTAGATTGCTAGAGAGTAAGTGTTGTGAAGTGACTTGGGCACTGGACTATGAGACCAGAGTTCGCATCCCTGCTTACCATAGAAATCCTCTTGGTGACCATGGAGAGTCACATTTTTTAAGTCTCAGAGAAAGACAAAGGCGGCCCTTTATGACAACCCTAAGGTGAACCTGTCACAGGGTTTTCTTGGCAAGATTTGTTCAGAGGAGGTTTCCCTTTGCCTTCCTTTGTGGCTGAGAGTGTGTGACTTGCCCAAGGTCATCCAGAGGATTTCCATGGCCAAGCAGGGATTCAAATCCAGAGCTTCTGGGCAGGTCATATAAAAGTCTCCCTCAATTTGGAGTAAACACTCAAAAAGATCCTGTTGTCAACCTCTGTTTTTCAACTTTATTTGCAGCCCTGTGGGCTTATTTTTGCCCATCTGGGTTGCATTTTCTAGCAAAGATACAGGAGAAGTAGAAGCCTTCTGGCTGACCACCTCAATCAAGGAAAACTTTTACAAAGTTCTTGGCAATCCTTTGTGCTCCTTTAGAAAGAGTTATATTGCAAGAAAGGAATTTCAGCTTTGCAAGTCACGTTCTACAGCAATACAGGGGATGGTTTTCAGAAGTGTAACTATGCAGCGGGTGGTGGGGGGAGCATTGCACCTCCAAACAAAATTTCAGGTTTTCCTTCAGTCCCCAAATTTTTAGCATTTCAGAGGGTGAGACTCTGGAACTGGAACTTTAGAAACTGTATTTCTTAATGCTCTACTGAAGTTATAAGTTACTGCAATGCTAAAAATTTGGGGATTGAAGAAAAAATTTATAGGGGACGTATATAGTTCCCTTATTTTTATATAGTTTATTTATATATATAGCTACACTCCTGATAGTTTGTGTACTAATAGATCTACTTGTGGTCCTGAGTATGTTTCAAATCTATAAAACAGGAAAACTGATGAATTCTCTTGATTGTTCAATGTAGAGCTAAACTGAATCTGTTGTACTTTAGATATATCATGAGACAACGTGACTCACTGGAATAAATGGTAGTGCATGGTAAAGTTGAAGGGAGTAGGAGAAGAGGAAGAGTGCATTAAAGGTGGGTTGACTCAATCAAGGCAGGCCTGAGTATGTAGAGACCTCCAAGTTCCCCTACTACTCTGCTCAGGTCTTGCAAATGCAGGGCTGAGGCTTTCTTGATTGAATCAATCTACTTGTGGCATGGTCACCCTCTTTTCCTTCTACCTTCCACTTTGCATATGTGTATGAACCAGCATGGTGTAGCCGTTTG